CATCTGTTGGTGCCTCGGCTCTGTCCACAGGTTTTTGCTGTATTGGAAAAGTGACGAAAGCTGAGCATTATCCTGAACGTAAAGTTGCCAGATATCCCAGGAAACAAATATGGAACAGCCTACCATTCACTGCTTTAAACCACTTGATCATGTTGCGGGTGTAACAAGTGCAGCAAGGCCATTCATTCACTTGTTCCACTGGTTTTGAGTATCCTATACAGGAGGCTGGGGATGAGGAGGGAACAGAAATAATGATCATTGATTATACTGTTGACTTGGAGGACCTTAGTTCACAGATGCAGATAGACTCCAGGGCCATGAAGTCTATGAAGGGGCAGGGAGTCAGGAAGTCTTCTCAGAAAGGGGGACAATTGAATTGGGTCCCGAAGAATAAGAAGTTTACCAAGTAGAAAGGTGGGCTTCATCTGAGCCTTGGGGAGACCCTGCAATGGTGAGGTCTCCATCCCCCTGGTCAGACTTTGTCCTATATTTTCTAGGCCTAAATGACAATCATCTGTGTTCAGATACCTAAGGGTCAAGAGAGTTGTAGATCCAACCAAAGTGGGCTCCCTGGACAGAATTCTGATTCACTCACCGTGACCGCAGCTGTCTGAGCACCGACCCCTTCCCCTGTGTACCTTCCCCTTCACGCCTCCAGCCCCACAGTGACTCCCCCATACCTCCCCCATTCTGCTCACAGCCTCTTGCTCCTCGATGCTCCCAGGAGCTCCCACCTCCAGATGTACAGAGAGAACAGCTGTATATTCTTACCTCTTCTGCATCTTCACATATCTTCTTCCTACGAGCCTTGAACTTAGCCTTTCTTGAGTCTGTTTCCTCTTCTGTGGATGGGCATGATAATAGCTTCCTCACAGATTTGTTGGAAGGATCAAATCAAATAAACTATGTAAGTTGACAGGGACCTGGCTTCCATTGATGACGGCCATCATTCTTCCCATGTTGCAAGACCTTACATCACAAATAATCTCTTGTTCTCCTAGAACTTCAATCTTTCCTTTGACTCTTTCCTAGCTGCTTGAAAAATCTTGGGTCTTCTCTGTCCTAAATTAGTACCTTACCTCAGTCATATTCCTCAGCCCATTTTATGGCTTCTTTTATTCACAAAGAATTGACAAATTCCCACAAACTTGGCTTCAACCACCATTTATCAAAGACTTGTTCATCTCCAAAACTGGTCAAGATCTCCTTGTGGTCCCTATTCCCCTCCACTGCATGGCCACATTTAATGCTAATGGAAGGGAGCTCCAAGAGGAAGAGAATGGTTAGTGGTCAAATGTGGCCACTCAGTGTGTGTTCCATTTTGAGTTGATTTTTGTATAAGATTTGGGATTTAAGCCAAGGTTTATTTTTTGTCTATGGATATCCAATTGCTCCAATACCATTTGTTGAAAAGACTATCTTTCCCCCCCCACTGCCATCGAATTGCTTTTTTGTAGCTTTGTCAGAAATCAGTTGACCATACTTGCATGGGGATATTTCTGGATCTTTATTCTGTTCCACTGATCTTTCTGTCTATCCCTCCATTCATATCACAAAGTCTTGATTACTGTAGCAATGTAGTAAGTCTTGAAATCAGTTAGACCAATCCCTCCCACTTTATTCATCTTTGTCAAAATTATTTTAGCTTTGTTATTTCACATAAACTTTAACAATAAGCTTGCCTCTATCTACAAAATATTTTTGCTGAGATACAAACTACATTAAACATGTATATCCATTAGGGGGAAATTGATATATTACTATGTTGGGTGTTCCAATCCATGAACATGGTATGTCTCTCCACTCACTTAGATCTTTGATTTTTTTCATCAGCATTTTGTGGTTTTCAGCATACAAATCCTGTATATATTTTCTTAGATTTATGCCTAAGCATTTAAAGTTTTTTGCATCATGTATATGTGTTCATTGCTAGTATATAGAAAAACTAACTTTTTATGTTGGTCTTTTATCTTGCATTCTTGCTGAACTCACTTGTACTAGCATTGTTGTTGTTTTTTTTTTGTTGTTTTGTTTTTTTTTTTTAAGAGAGAAAGCACGAACAGGCAAAAGGGGCAAAGGGAGAGAGAAAGAGAACCTTAAGAAAGAGAACCTCTATGCTCAGCATGGAGCCTGATGTGGGGCTTGATCCCACAACCCCAGGATCACTAACTACCTGAGCAGAAACCAAGAGTCAGATGCTCAACCGACTGAGCCACCCAAGCACCCCCTAGGAGATTTTTTTTTTTTTTTTGTAGATTCTTTGGTATTTTTTACATAGACCATCATGTCATCTACATATAGAGACCGTTTTATTTTTTTCTTTTTTGATCTATATGAAATATATTTCCATTGCTATTTCATTTCATTCGTTTATAGTGCTGGCTAGAATTCCCTTTATTGACTAGCAGTGATAGTGGACTGCTCGCCTTATTTCCAGTGGACACCCTCGCCTTATTTCCAATTATAGGCGGAAAGCACTCAACCTTTTTTTTTCTTTTTAATGTTTATTTATTTTTGAGAGAGAGCGCACGAGCAAGGAGGGGCAGATAAAGGGGGAGAGAGAGAGAACCCCAAGCAGGCTCTGAGCTTGTCAGTACAGAGCTCAACGTAGGGCCCAAACCCACAAATTGTGAGATCATGACCTGAGCCAAAATCAAGAGCTGGATGCTCAACCGACTGAGCCACTCAGGCACCCGAAGCATTCAGTTTTTAATCATTAAGTCTTATGTTAGCTATAGGTTTTTCACAGGTGTTCTTTATTAAATTTAGGAAGTTAACTTTGATTCCTACTTTTCTGAGAGTTTTTATCACGAATGGATGTTGAATTTTGTCATATGTTTTTTTCTGCATCAAATGATATGATTATGTGATTTTTCTTCTTTAGCCTGTTAATATGGTGGATTACATTGATTGAATTTTCAAATATCGAGCCAACATTGCATCCCTGGAATAAATCCCATTTACATGGTGTAGAATTCTTTTTTTTTTTTATTTTTTTTAATGTTTTTATTTATTTTTGAGACAGAGAGAGACAGAGCATGAATGGGGGAGGGGCAGAGAGAGAGGGAGACACAGAATCGGAAGCAGGCTCAGGCTCTGAGCCATCAGCCCAGAGCCCGACGCGGGGCTCGAACTCATGGACCGCAAGATTGTGACCTGGGCTGAAGTCGGATGCTTCACCGACTGAGCCACCCAGGCGCCCCTACATGGTGTAGAATTCTGTTTACACATTGCTGAATTCTACTTGCTAATATTTTGTTAAGAGCTTTTTTTTTTTTAATTTTTGAGAGACAAGAGTGTGAGCAGGGGGAGGGGCAGAGAAAGGAGGAAAGAGGATCCGAAGCAGGCTCAGAACTGACAGCCCAATGCAGGGCTCTAACTCACGCGCTGCAAGATCATGACCTGGGCCAAAGTCTGATGCTCGACCGACTGAGCCACCCAGGCGCCCCTTGTTAAGAACTTTTTAATGTATATTCATGAGGGATATTACCCTATAGTTTTCTTTTTTTTGGCACTGTCTTTGTCTGGCTTTCGTATCTGAGGAATACTGGTTTCATAAAATGAGTTGGGAACATTTCCTTCTCTTCTGTTTTCTGGAAGAGATTGGCATTAATTCTTCTTTAAGCATATGGTAAAGTTCTCTAGCTTTTAAAAATAGTGGTTCCAGGGGTGCCTGGGTGGCTCAGTCAGTTGAGCATCTGACTCTTGGTTTCGGCTCAGTTCATGATCTCAGGGTTCATGAGTTTGAGCCCCACATTGGTCTCTGCGCTGACAGTGCGGAGCCTGCTTGGGATTCCCTCTCTCTCTGCCCTTCCCTCCCCTGCTCACTCGCTCTCTCTCTCTCAAAATAAATAAATAAACATTTTGAGAGAGACTGAGACAGCGCGAGTGGGGGAGAGGCAGAGAGAGAGGGGGACAGAGAATCTGAAGCCAGCTCTGCTGACTGCAGAGGGCCCGACTTGGGGCTCAAATCCACAAACCAGGAGATCATGACCTGAAGCAAAGTCCAACGCTTCACCAACTGAGCCACCCAGGCGTCCCTAAAAATTTTTTTATAAGTTTATTTATTTATTTAGAGAGAGAGAGCAGGAGAGGGGCAGAGGGAGAGAGAGAATCCCAATCAGGCTCTGCACTGTCAGTGCATAGGCCGATGCAGGGCTCGAACTTGAGAACCGTGAGATAATGACCTGAGCCAAAACCAAGAGTCAGACACGTAACCAAGTGAGCCACCCAGGCGCCCCCCCCCCCCACAAACTTTTTTTCAAATAGTGGTTCTGGGGGACCCAGTCTGGACCACATAAAGCTGAATCTCTGGGGGTGGAGCTTTAGTGCAGGTGCTTTGCAAAGGCTCCGCCAATGAGCTTATTCATGTGCAGCCAGCTGTGGAGCTTAATGTGGTAGTAGTGGCCTTGAGGCAGACATGGGAGAGCCAGCTGGAGCCGAATCCACCTGAAGAATGACATGGATTCAACAACTGTGAGGCTTGGAGAATTTGGCTCTGTGAGACACGCCCCGGGAGCCCCTGATACCTTTGGGACCATATGGTACAGTGGGGACACTGTTCACACAAGACCTGTGGTTTGACTTGGCTACTGAGAAGCCATAAATCCCTTACTCAGCAGTTTCAGCTTTCTGATTGGTAAAATGCCACTCCTTGGGTTGTTCTGGGACTAAAACAACACAGTAGATAGGAAAATGCTTTAGAACCTACACATCATTTCGGGAAGGTAGACACTGATGTTTCTTTGGGCCCCGGATGCACCCCTACTGCCACTGTGTCGTGATTCCCAATAAGTCTCACTATGAGGTCAGTGGGAGGCTTGTGACCCCAGCTGGTTGTAGGACCCGTGTTCTCAGGCCATGGGGAAACTTCCTCCCCCTCCCTGCTCACTTACTCTGCCCATGGGGTTTGGACTCTGATAGGAAGAAGTGGGACCTTGGTTACAGTGAAAAGGGACTTTGACCTTGACTGGTGCCTCCCTTTCACCCTCCATAGGAACATGCTTGCCAATTCAGGCAGCGTGAGGATTCTCATCAAGGGAGGCAAGGTGGTGAACGATGACTGCACCCACGAGGCTGACGTCTACATTGAGAATGGCATCATCCAGCAGGTGGGCCGTGAGCTCATGATCCCCGGAGGGGCCAAGGTGATCGATGCCACTGGGAAGTTGGTGATCCCTGGAGGCATTGACACCAGCACCCACTTCCATCAGACCTTCATGAACGCTACATGCGTGGACGACTTCTACCACGGGACCAAGGTAATGTTCCTGTTCGCTGAAGGTGCGTTCCTTCCCTTTTTTGTGGGGTTGCTCCAGACTAGACCCATGTGAACAGGATGCCCCTGCTGTATTGCTAAAAGGACGAGGGTGCTCTCATGGGGCCACTGTGGCAGCTGACATAGGAAATTCCAGGCTAGATGTCATAGATCTCCATGACTACCGAAAAGCAAGTATGTAAGCCTGTTTTACCGATCACATCACTTACCCGTGTGCCGAGGCCGGGAACTGATTTTTATTTTTATATGGTTACATCATGTAATGCAGACCTAGAAGAAGAAGAGAATCATAGCTGGTGTTTGTTGCTATGCATGTATGTGACAGGGAGTGTGGTATTGATCTGAAGAACTCCTTTATGGATGATCAGCTAAATTAATTCCCCAAAGATTGTGAAAAATAGATATGCTTCTTCTAGATGATTTTAATGGCAGTAATTATGAAACAAACATGGCTAGCGATCTTGGATTATCTCTCCTAGCTTGTTCATTATTTTTAAAAACAGCTGGAAAAAAAAAACCCAAAAAACCTGGTAGTGGGGCCTCTTTTAGAGGGAGTTGTCGTGGGCAATATTTACTGTTATTGAGCTGAGCCAGAGCTGTGATATGTTGCTGAATGCAGAATACGAAAACCAAATGAATTAGGAGGAAATTAACATTTTGCAAAAAAAGTCACATGTGGATTCTTTTACCCTTCTGTGCTCCCGAACCTCTGTTATTGCTGTCACTCCTCTGTATTGTAATTACCTGTCACATGCCAGCCTCTCCCTGAACACCAGACTGTGGGCTCGTTATGGCCTTGATGATATTCCTCTGCTTTCCCAGATCCTGGCACTGACCAGAAACCGGAATAACTACCCAGTAAATGTTTGTTGACTGAATAAGTGAACAGTGCTTATACATCAAAGTTACTATGAAGGTTTTTTACCTTTTAAAAAAAAAAATGTTTATTTATTTTTGAGAGAGAGAAAGAGAGAGAGAGAAGGGGAGGAGCAGAGAGAGAGAGAGACAGAATTTCAAGAAGGCTCTGTGCTACCAGCACAGAGCACAATATGGGGTTCACACTCATGAACCAGGAGATCATGATCTGAGCCAAAATCAAGAATCGGACACTCAACTGACTGAGCCACCCGGGTGCCCCTGAAGATTTTTTTAAATGTAGAATTAAATCAATTTCAAGGACTACAAGTCCCTGACCCTGGAGGCAGCCTCTTCTACTGTCTGACCTAACAAAGGACTTGGCCTCTAACACTCTCTGGGCAAAAGGGATCCACTAGCTACCGGTCCGGGGGCTGTAGTCAGCCCTCTGTCCTACTTTGGCCCACAGCCTCAAATCCCCACGGCCCTCCACCCTAAAATGCTGCCTCTGCTCTACCGGGGCTTCTCAGGGAGCCCTTCTCCCATGCTTAGGTGTCTCCCCTTAGGATCCATTTCCCTGGGGGTTCAGAGGCTCCTGCTAGGCAGTGACCAATGAGGCTCTGCAAACCCACCCCTGAGGAGTCTGGCTCGGGCAGGCAGAGGCTGGCCTTGGGGTCACAGTTCTATGGGCAGTTGGCCTCTAAGGTCTCCCTGAAGATACATTCCCATCCTGCTGCAGGAGCAGCAGACCAGACCCCCGGACGGCTGAGCTGTGAGGAGTCACAGTCTCCGTAGCCCAGCCGGTTCTAAGGCAAGGATGGGCTCAGGACTAATACTCCAGAATCCAGGGCCAAATCTGCCTACTCTAGCAGAGCCCAGAGAAGAGAGGCAGTAGGCAGACCCTTCCTGCTTTCTCTTCTGAGAATTCCCCCAGGGCCTGTGAGTAAGGCTTCACTGAGGAAATGGGGAGCCCCAGCCCCATCAACTTCTGAAGGGTACACGAGTGGCAGGACTTTTTTGAAGGGAGTGAGCACATCCACTTCACCGTCCCCAAGTACTGGAGCCAGGCCAGGCCTGTTTGATTTATGGTCATCGTACTGTTATTTTTGTGGAAGCAGAGCATATATACAGAAAAGTATGCAAACTGTAAGTATGCAGAATTGTCACAACTGAACACACCCTTGTAATCAGCACCCACATTGAGAAACCAGACTTTACCAGCACCAAAGTGCCCCTCTTTATGCCCCCTCCCAGTCACTACTTCTTACCAAGGATAACCACTATCCTGACTTTTTATACCATTGTTTGAAAACAAAAAAACAAAAAAACAAAAAAACCAGCTTAGCAATCCCTATCAAAGTAACACCAGCATTCTTCACAGAGCTAGAACAAACAGTCCTAAAATTGGTATGGAATCAGAAAAGACCCCGAATAGCCAAAGCAATCCTGAAAAAGAAAACCAAAGCAGGCATCACAATTCCAGGCTTCAAGACATATTACAAAGACGTAATCATCAAGACAGTATGGTAGTGGCACAAAAACAGACACACAGATCAGTGGAACAGAATAGAGAACCCAGAAATAGACCCACAAACATGGCCAATCAATCTTTGACAAAGCAGGAAAGAATATCCAATGGAAAAAAGACAATCTCTTCAGCAAAAGGTGTTGGGAAAACTGGACAGCGACATGGAGAATGAGCCTGGACCACTTTCTTACACCATACACAAAAATAAACTTAAAATGGACAAAAGACCTGAACGTAAGACAGGAAGCCATCAAAATCTTAGAGGAGAAAACAGGCAACAACCTCTTTGACCTCAGCCACAGCAACTTCTTACGGAACGTGTCTCTGGAGGCAAGGGAAACAAAAGCAAAAATGAACTACTGGGGCCTCAAGATAAAAAGCTTCTGTACAGTGAAAGAAATAATCAGCAAAACTAAAAGGCAACTGACGGAATGGGAGAAGATGTTTGAAATGACATAGCAAATCAAGGGTTAGTATCCAAAATCTATAAAGAACTCACCAACACAACACCCAAAAAACAGTCTAGTGAAGAAATGGGCAAAAGACATGAATAGACACTTTTCCAAAGAAGACATCCAGATGGCTAACAGAAACATGAAAAAATGCTCCACATCACTCATCGGGAAGCTAAAATCGAACCATAGCGAGATACCACCTCACACCTGTCAGAATAGCTAAAATAAACAACTCAGGCAGCAACAGATGTTGGCGAGGATGTGGAAAAAGAGGATCTCTTTTGCATTGCTGGTGAGAATGCAAACTGGTGCAGCCACTCTGGAAACAGTATGGAAGTTCCTCAAAAAATTAAAAATAGAGCTACCCTACAACCCAGCAATTGCACTACTAGGCATTTATCCAAGGGATACAGGTGTGCTGTTTCGAAGGGACACATGCACCCCAATGTTTATAGCAGCACTATCAACAATAGGCAAAGTGTGGAAAGAACCCAAATGTCCATCGACTGATGAAGGGATAAAGAAGATGTGGTGGATGTGGCGTGTGTGTGTGTGTGTGTGTGTGTGTGTGTGTGTGTGTGTGTGTGTGTGTAATGGAGTGTCTCAGCAGCAAAAAGAATGAAACCTTGCAGGGGCGCCTGGGTGGCGCAGTCGGTTAAGCGTCCGACTTCAGCCAGGTCACGATCTCTCAAGCTCCGTGAGTTCGAGGCAGCGTCCGAGCTCTGGGCTGATGGCTCAGAGCCTGGAGCCACCCTGCAAATTCTGTCTCCCTCTCTCTCACCTCCCCGTTCATGTCTCTCTCTGTCCCAAAAATAAATAAACGTTGAAAAAAAAATTAAAAAAAAAAAAAAAAAAAAGAATGAAACCTTGCCATTTGCAGCAACATGGATGGAACTAGAGGGTATTATGCTAAGAGAAATTAGTCAGAAAAAGACAAATGTCATGTGACTTCACTCATGTGGAATTTAAGATACAAAACAGATGAACAAAAGGGAAAGGAAGCAAAAATAAGATTAAAAACAGAGAGACAAATCATGAGAGATTTTTAAATACAGAGAACAAACTGAGGGTTGCTGGAGGGGTGTTGGTGGGTGGATGGGCTAAATGGGCAAGGGGCATTGAAGGAGGACTCTTGTGGGGATGAGCACTGGGTATTATACGTAAGTGATGAATCACTAAATTCTATTCCTGAAATCATTGTTACACTATATGTTAACTAACTTGGATGTAAATTGAAAATAAATAAATTTTTACAAAAAGATCATAGAAACCAAAAAAACAAAACAAGACAAAACAAAACCCAACAGCATAATTGAGATATAATTCAGACATCATACAGTTAAGTAAGTAAGTAAGTAACTTAAGTATAGAAGTCCATGATTTTAGGTATATTCACCATAGATTGGTCCTGGCTGTTTATATAAATAAAATTAAGTGGTTTGTACCTTTGCATTAGCTTCCTTTGCTCAGTATTATTTTTGTGAAATTCATTCATATTGAACTTACTCACTTTCACTGCTTTATTGTTTGATGTACCACATATTGGCATTATCGATGCCAATAATACCGTTGCTATGAACGTTCTTGTACATCTTTCAGCAAATGTATGATCACATATCTGTCGAGCACATTCCTAGAAGTAAAATTGCTGGGTCATAGGGGTACATGCGCTCAGCTTTAGGATAGGCCACCAAATTATCTTCCCAACTGATTGTAACAATGAATACTCCCAGCTGTAATATAAGAGAGACCATAGTATTTACCACCAACAGGACTCTGATTACCACCGGGGTCCCTGCTGGGGTCAATTCTGTAGTGTGCTCGAGCGTCGCGCCCAAAATTGTAGCTTTCTGGCTCATGTCTCCACTTGGGAGACCTTCAGTCTAAGGTCAGATGCCATGCTGTCACCACGCTGTCTACCAGCCTCTCAGAGGGCAGGCTGGCCTTCTTTGTCTTATTTTTCACATTGTCATCTGCCGGGACCTCATTAGCCAGGAGTGGCAGGTTTTCCCCTGAGAGCCTTTAGCTCTTTATAGCCGATGAAACCCCAGCACACGCATCTTTGTGCAAGTTGGTGGGTAACTCCTGATCTTTTCCAGGCTTCTCATCCATGGGAGCAGCTGCCTCTGCAAAACCCGTAAAAGC